ACAGTAAGGCAAACTATATTTTAGTTATCTACATTAGAAATGCATTGTTTGTCATTTTCCCATGTGAATTCTTTTACTAATTGTGAAGCATGGACACGAGTACAAACAAGGGAGATAAAAACATTATAAGAATTCAATATCCTAATACCACTGGACGATTGTCATCAGTTGACATATGTTTCACATACCATTCCAAAAAGGTAATGTCACACTTTCTGCTGAATCATGCTATGGTGCCAACACATTAATAACCTAATTTTTGCCAATATGCTGCCTGAAAAAGGAGCATGTTGATTGGCAGACAATCCATGGTACAATGAATCTTTGAAAAACTATCGACAACATAACTTGGGTGCTACAGGTATTCAATATGCATAATCTATATAGAACTACAGAACTATGTTTGAAGATACCTTTCATGAAATTTAGGCAACATACGACCAGCATCTCTGATGAGAACAATAACTAAGCATTCATGCTAATAACAACCATTCAAAGGATATTTAGACAAAACAAGTACAGAAAGCACTAAGAAGATTGTTCACATTTTTAGAGTCAAGCCCAAATAGATGCAAATCACTAACATTCATCCTTTGTGGATGATATATGCTTCATAGCTACATTGTGTACATCAAAGACCGTAGACCATTTGTGTCTAAAATATCTGACCAAGGGGTACATCAAAAGGGCGTATATACATGTTTTGAATATCAACTGTATACACATGACAGACTCCATAAGCATTTTGATGTGTTTATTCTTCATAGTTGTGGTCTAATGCATCTTATGCCCTTAAACGATATTGCAAGTTTAATATACGAAACATGCAAAATTTTCCTCTACCAGTGCAGCATAACTTAGCATATTAAGAACAACCTATTATTAACCTAGGGGTTCTTTTGTAGGCAGAGGATGAGCATTAGGGTCACCTTAAGGTTGTCTCTCTGCAACCTAGACAACTAAAATTTGAGTCATGCAGGAGCTTGAATAAATTGACTAATCCTAAACCCTGTATTGGCGGGCACCTCATGCACTAGGCCATCTTCTTTAGGTATTTATCCAAACAACACTAGAAATATACAAATCTCTGCCATCCTTGTGTAGCATAACATTTAACACTATTCACAAAAGTATGTGTTGAAATTTGTTTGTTTGAAACTTGGGAACTATCATAAGCAATTTCATGGATCCTTAATCACCAATCATAACAGAACAATACAGGTAATCTTGTGTTGTAACCAGTGTTAAAAATTCGTTCCTACCATTATTTATAACAACTTCTGTACCGGATAACCACAGTGTTGAAGGAAAACTCAGGTCTTGATCTAAAAATGCAACGGCCGTCCCACCTTGTCTCTTTTGCCTAATTTACCAACATTAAGCATCCCCTTTTAATAAAAGACCTAGTCAAATTTATGACATACACTACGTTAACATCCTTGTGATACTAGGCTTCTATTTTTATTAGACTATTGAGAGTAAAAAAGAAGCATTTAACCACCAACTATAATTAAGTAACAAATAGCCATAGTACTCTTGGTCCAATAGCACAAATGAGAAACATCATCTTTCAAACAATAATCTCATATGATTTGCCATTCCAGCATCATATTCAAGCAAGACTTACTATGACCATACAGAGAATGGCAGCATGTAAGACTATTTAAAAGGTCAAAGCTTGTGTCCTAATTTTTTAATGCAAAAAAAAATCAAATTCCAATAGTGACAGCTTTTCAAAAGAACTCATCGAATTCAACATAGATATTAGGAACCAGACTATCCTTTTCCTTCCATATGAGCATATTTATTACATCTTACATTTCACTACTGCTTTTGTGATGTTTATCCTTGCAAATTTCAACCTTTTTATTCTAATGATACAAGTTAGACAGGAGACTGACTCAACAGAGATACTTCTCTTGGTCAGTAGTATCTTTTAGACTGTTTGGTACTATATGTATATGATAATGAATACAACAAGATTACATCAACGATGATTTAAAATCTTATATTTGAAGTTTCACATGGATAATTTTCGCACAACAGCAACAGGCAGCCATAAAATGCCTAAATAACAAGCCATACTGTCAACTGTGCTACTCTGGAATTATGAAAGCAACCCTCTCTTTTTATGAAACTAATCGCAAGAACCAGAAAAAATAAACAAAAATTGCATTCAAACATCAATTATGCCATTGCCCCAGCTGATATATCATGATTATGTATGCCATGTAATAGCCAAACTGAGAGCCTCCCATAGGTTTATAACCCATACCATCCATCTATAAAAGCAGGCCTACAGCAAAATATGATCAAACAAGAAACAACCAAAAACCACAAAAGTTGAATCATCATTCTAGAAATTATCATACATGGTTCATTATATGTTGAGAAATATTATTCAAGGTTTCTAATCCACAACATATATTCAAATCAGTATTCATTCTAAACATTTTCATAAATTGGTTCAAAATGTTGCAGAAATCTTCTCCCATGTGCAAGTGACAAGAAATACCAAATAGAGGCTCAAAATTCAGACAAGTTACCTTATATATGCAACTAATAAGCATTCAAAGCTTACCATAGGCTTGTCATAGAATGGAAATCCTTGCATCCGTTTAAGTGCCTCAGTTGCTGATTGAACATCCTCAAAAACTACCCATGCTTGGCCCTTGTGTTTCAGTGTCTTAAAAGCTAGAACTTCTAATATCTTCCCGAATTGGGAGAAAACAGCATGCAGGGACTTCTTCAGTTCTAGTAACGGATAAGCAAATATATTAGCTCTGAGTAATCAGCTGCTGTAACTAAAAAAAATTAAAAAAAAAATAGAAAGGACAAACAGATTTACATCTGCAGGCTTGCTAAAAGTATGCATGGGAAACATCAAATATGTGACAAAAAAGCTAAGATATATAATTTTTGGGCTATTTGAAAGAGCATACTAACACAGGAAACATCATATATGTAGCAAAAAACCTAAGCTACATAATCTTTGATGCCATGTGAACATGCATATTGATCGGGAAACATCATACATGTAGTGAAAAACCATGTGAACAAACATATTAATATGGGAACCATCATACAAGTAGCAAAAAGGCTATGCTAAATAATCTTTGGTGCCATGTGAACAAGCATATCAACATTTGCTTGCTGGTTTCTTTGTTTTGCTGGCTTCTTTTCGATGCTCCCTATAACACTATCAATATCACTCGAGAATACAAACCGGTGCTTCTAATTCATTTTCACGCACAAACATTGCTGATATTGCATTCCTTCAATATACGTGCATTGAATTATACAGACAGTTCCCAGTTTAACATCATCTGCAGTCTACCTATGGTGAGTAATTATAGTTGCTCAGTAACCAGAGGACCTTTATGATTCCAAGAAGAATACCGTCAAATACAACACCAACACCGATGAACCCCAAGATTAAATAGAAGTAATTTGTAATATCAACATCACAAAATGCATATACGAGGACAGGAAAAGAACATAAAGGTAAGCCTCTGATATTTATCAAATCAAAAAAGATATCACAGGATGGGAACAAAGATATGTATTGAATCAAAAAAGAATAAGGAGGATTTTGGCTCACTATGATCATAATTTGACTGACTGGCTCGAAGCAGGTATAGGGTTAAGAGGAAAAGCAACGACTCATCTTGATGAATACACATCGTAGGCTTCAAGCATCAAAAACAAGATCCAAAATTTCTACGCATCTTAGAGAAAGAACTCATCAAAGCCTCGAGAAATAAGAAAAAGAAACAAATTAAAATTGAAGAAATAAAAGAAGACGGGTTCCGGCTCACTCTGGTTGGAAGTGTTGGAACGGCAGTGATCTAGGTTAAGAGGACAAGATTGAACCCAACTTAATGAACAAACACCGAAGGTCCCATGCATCGGAAGCAAGATCCGTGCAAACCTATCGAAGCCCAAGCATTCTTTCTAGGGTTTACAAGGAAAAGCAGAAACGAATAGCAAGAACTCGTCAAAAACCCAAGAAAGAACGAAGAGAACATGGTAAACAACGACTCGTCTTTCCAAGGTTAAAGGAAAAGAATAAGAACGCAGCAGAACTCAAGAAAGAATACGAAAGAAAGAACGAAGTGCAGCGGGCAAGCAAGAACTTATTTATCTAGGGTTTATGAAAGGGGGAAAAAACAAAGAAATGCAGCATCGAGAAAGAATGAAGAGAACAGGACAAGAAAGAACTCCCACTCATAGGGTTCACGAAGAAGAAAAGAAGGGCAAGAACGCGTCAAAGACTCTGGAACGAACAAGAAAGCAATGAGCGCAGGGAGAGGGCTCACCGTCGAGCTTGATCTTCTCGTTGAGGTTGTTAATGTAGATAGTCATGTTGGGTGGAATCGCCGGAGCGTCCCCGCCACCGCCACCATCGTTGCTCATCCCTCCCACTCTCCCACTGTGTCAATCGAGATTCGAGGGAAATCAGAGAGGCAAGCGGTGAACCGAGCGAGTTAACCGGAGCCGTCGTTGGAGCTGCGCCACCTCGGACGTTGTAAGAGAGACGATTCCACGTCAATTCGACTTTGATGCCGCGACGGTACTGATTATGATCATGTGATGATCAAATCAGGAGAGTGATCAATTTCAACCGGACCGTTAAAATGATATCGGAGGGTTCCGATTTATTTGTCAAATATTTTATGTATAACGATCCCAAAATAAAGCATTCTTCCACTTTCTATCGTGACGCCGGCTTAGTAAATAGTACTAAACATGTCTAGGCTAATAAATAAATATAAAATTGATGGATTGTAACATCATCCATATGCTACTACATAATATATGTATGATTAACGTAGAAA